ACAGTGCTTTCCAAAATCTGTCTGTAAAGCACTGTTGGGGACAACATGTGTGTCCTGGAGAAACAGGAAAGTACAGGGTAGTAACTTTCTCATAAGGCAAACTATATTCAATTCAAAGGAGTGTCCTTTAGTCTGAAATTAGGGTCTTATTACTTTCTTGTTATTAACCATTTAACATTTCAATTGTAAAATAATGACAGTGAAATAGGTAGCAAATGATCTCTTTCCATTTGTGTGTGTGTTGTTGGGGGGAGGTTCTGGGGGCTAAGCCTAGGACTTTGTGCATAGTAGGCAAGTGTCCTACTACTGAACTATACTTCTGCCCCATATTTTTTTTTATTGTCCTTACCTAACCTGTTAAAAAGTTGACTATTTTATCTTAATTATAAACTTTTTTTGAAATGTTGTTTGAAATGTATGRTAGACTACACAAGGAATCACTATTCTATTTTCAAACTCAAAATTTTCAGAATCTTCTACATTTCCACAGCTCTTTATAATTTGTTAAACATTTTCACATTAATTATATCACTTGGAGCTCTATGATCTGTGAAACAATCTCGTGTTCCACAGATTTTAAAAATACAGAGTTTAAGGTGATTAGGCAACTTCACCAAGATTATATGGTTTGTTTAAGAGCCAGATTCCACCTCATGTTTTTTGACTTTGAATCCTATCTACTTTCCATCTAAAAGTAGTTCATGAAATGGATCTTACAATAGAATCATAGTATTTGTTTGTTTGGTTTTTGGTGGTGCTGGGGATTGAATCCAGCACCATGAATTCATGTCATGAATTCACGGACAAGTACTCTACCAACTGAGATATATCCCCAGCCCCTACTATAAGTGTTTTAATGTACACAGAACTAATAAGTTTGAATTTCTGGAGGATGGGGCCTAATCTGGGTGATTCTGGTCTATAGGCAAACTTGGGTACCACTATCAAATGGTACTTGCCTCTGTCTACCTGGACTCACAAGAAAGAAGGGGGGTTTAGAGATAGAATTGGATATCCCTGGGCAAGTCACATGATCACCTGAGCCTCAATTTCTGCATCTGTGTAATAAGAACTATGCTATCTAACATGCAGATTGTAAATATTTTGAAAAACAATATGTAGTACCTAAATCTGTTAGTCACTCAAAAAAGGAAGCCATCATCATTACTATTGCTACTATGGAAATACTACCTAGAATGCTGCTCTATTACTACTAAGAAATAGGTACATATTATAAATAGCAATGATTGTAGAACTTTCCTTAAACAAATTTATAGCAAATACAGGTTAACAATTTACTTGTGATGGTCTCAATTTTTTCCTTTGTGAAATATCTACATCTGTTAATTTCTGGGGTATCTTTGGCTCTAAGAAGCCTGGGACTATATGGTTCTATTGAAGAGTTGAAGAAGGAAGTTTTGAGGAAGTAGCTTTAGAAGATTATTAAATAAATATAATTGAAATAAATTCGTACTTACAAATGACAACTCTATAGCTATGCTGTCATTTTCTGTCAAGGCAAGACTATGTCTAAATCCAAATATTTGCTTCTTTACAGTTTATAATTTGTATGTATCTGGGATTAAAAGTATTTGAAATAGCTTACAACAAATTACAAAGACAACAATAAAGCTAGAGGAAAAAGCTAAGAATCATTAATAAATGGGGCAGAAAAAGAAGATAAAGGATAATGGGGTTGGGGAAATACTGTTTTTATTTTTTCCAGGAAACTGGAAAAATTGGTTTATAAAAACTGCACCATTGAGTAGACATTATGATTCCTGAACTTTGGGCAAAGGAGAAGGGGGAAGGGAGATGGTGAAATGAGATGGGCATCATTATCCTAGGAACATRTATGACTTCACATATGGTGTGACACTACATCATGTATAACCAGAGACATGAAAATTTGTGCTGCATTTGTGTACAATGAATCAAAATGCATTCTGCTGTCATATATACCTAATTAGAATAAATAAATAAATTTTTAAAAAAGATTCCTGATTGTGTTTCTAAAAAGATGAAAATAAGGTTTTCTCCTTAATGTTTCTTACCTAAGACTGAAAGCACTAATCACTAATAAAGAGAAGCAACCTAAATGAAAGATTAGTCTATGAGTAGACTGGAATTTATCCATTTAAACACTTTTTGCAGTAGCTATGAGTGCTCTAATTTTTTTAAATTAACTTCACTCATTATTCTGAAATATCACTACATTTACATATTTCATCTTTACCCTTCTATCATCTTGTTCTCCTCTATGCTTTAACTCATTTTAGAAAATTCTGGAAGTACTTAATAAGAAAATATAGGCTGTGGTGCTCAGGGTAGAAAGGATCCCAAATAATACCCCTATAAATTCATATTAAGTTATAATTTTTGATGCCTTGAGTACCCTCTGACCTAGTTATAATCAAACTGAAAGCTTCAAGTTTAGACTCAGTTTCCTTTCTATTCTTGTTGTCACTGCCTTGGGTCAGGCTGTAGCCTCACCTAGACTGCTACAAGCATCTCTGTTTTAATGGGTCTCCTTGCCCCTTCCTAATTCTGGRTTCATATAATTTTGGCTATAGCCTTCTTTGTAAAGAGCCCTGGTTGTATCTTTATACCATTAACACTCTTCCTTGGCCTTCCACTGTTTACCATGGTCCTTCTACCACTTAATCCTCCATGATTATCTCCCAAACTACCACACTTAGTGTGGTCTCTAGCCAAATTGAATTACTTCTTAGTGTTCAAATGCAGCTTGAGTTTTTCCATCACCTTATCATTCTATTGCATCTTACAAGACAAATAAATGAAGAAAATAAATATCCAGGGATAATTTCTATGTATAAGTCACAATTCTTTTTGATTATAGTACAATATACATTTGCRCCCAAATCTAATGAGTTACTACATTAAGAATCTAAGTTAAAGAGGCATCTTTATATGTAATCCAAAGTCTAGCACTATCGCCTCATATTTACTGTATATTTTTTCTTTAGCTGCTGAGAAAGGATTGTCTTTCGGTTGCCAAGGCATACAAGGCCAGCTGGCAGGAGTAGTCCAGGAAAAAAAAAAAAAAAAACATGCCACATTGAGTTCCCATGCAACAGAAACAAATGAAACCTAATTTGCTGATCTGTCTTGTTTATTTTGGTTCATTCGACAATGTAATATAACAGAAACAACACTGAACTGGGTATTAGAAGACCCAAAATTTAGTCCTATTTCTGCCATTGACCAACCATATAACTTTCAKAATATCATGCAAGTTTCTCGTCCTTGCTTTTTTTTTCACTTACAAAATGAAAATCTTCCTTGCTTTACTCAAAGAGTCCATACACATAGTAATATGATTCTTTTATTTGCCATTCCCTAAAATGTAGCCTTTTTCTATATCTATGTGCTTTACAATTCTATCCTGTGGTGAAGCCTTTGCAGATGCCATAAGTCCATGTTAATCTCACGGAGGGTCCTAGAGGAGGATTCCTATAAATAATCACAGATAATTCTACAAATATTTGTAAAATATCACAAATGGTATTATTCAAATATATTTTAAGGGGTTGACTAGATGATCTCTGAAGCCCTTGCTAGTTTAAAAGTAGTAAATTTCTATATTCAAATTTACACTTGAAATTCAACTATTTTGTATATAAAGAAAACTTCAGATATGTGTACATCATCTCTATTCTCATATCTTGGAAATTTTTGGACAGGCCAATTTYCCTGTCTCCCAATTTTAACCCTTACAAAGTCTTAGCATACCTGTCCCCTTCTTATATATGTAACAACTTGCCTGACATTTCCTATTTCTTGTAGTAATTTGTACTAGTTTTTTGTTTTACATCAGAATATGGATTTAAGTTTTAAGTAAACATAAGAATTTACAGGCTGGGGTTGTGGCTCAGCAGTAGAGCACTCACCTAGCACATGCRTTGGGTTCAATCCTCAGCACCACATTAAAATAAAATAGATTTGTGTCCCAACTTCAACAAAAACAAAATATATTTTTTTAAAAAGAATGTAAAACAAATTACTAAAACATATTTTTATTTTTATGTTTTTCTTATATTGCTAGTTGTAATATTACAGATTCTGAAAAGAAATTTTTAATTAATATCATCTTGGGAAAGGCAAATATTCTTTAAAATGTCTACTTTGTTAAAATATAAAAGTATGTGAGCACACAGAAAAATTGCTTGCTCCAAAAACTAGATGTGTCATCATAATCTAAAAGGTGGACCTTAAAATAGAGATGGTGAGTACATGCAAACTTACTAACCCTTTGCCACCTCACTCTCTAGTCAGAGTAGAGACTGATAAATTGATACCAGGAAACAGAACTCTTTGATATCCTGGGACTTTTTTTTATTATTTTTTTTTCAGTTGTAGATGGTAATTTATTTATTTATATGTGGTGCTGAGTATCAAACCCAGTGCCACACACATTCAAGGCAAATGTTCTACCACTGAGCTATAACCCCAGTCCTTCTTGATATCCTGTTTTAAAGAGTAACCTGGCTGAAATTCAACCTAGCTGACACTGCCATTCCTGTCCCTACAGTTTGGATTTTTAATATAATCGGAGTTACAGTGAAGAAGCTACAGGTCCTCGTACACTTTGAGTTTTTAGAGGCACTCTCACCTGAGCTATTCTGCAGATCTAGGTAAATCAAAGACGATGCTTCTGAATACACACACACACACACACACACACACACAACTTTGGGGATAACCAAGCTGAGGTAATTTCAAAGTCTAGTACATAAATGATACAAGATAATCTGCCATATTCAAGTGACACTCAGGAAAGAAAGAAAAACCCCCTCTAGTCTACTTTTCAAAATACAAAATACAACACTTGAACTTTTAGATAAATTAAACCTCTATATTCTGAAGAGAGATTTATAAACTCTAGAGAGTAATATTAAATGATTCAGAAGTGGTACCATGCAAGAACAAAGTCACCAGAACCCTTCATACAAATTAAATGGAAAGAATTCAGCACTTACCTGGCATAAACCACTGATGCACATATCCAGTGATTCGGTATAGCAACGAGTTCCATCTAACACCTTCGGTGCTAGTTCAACAACCAGGGTTGTTCCCTTGGCTTGACACTTTAGTGAACAGGGGTTGTCGGGGTCATTAGACACAGGAAGCCATTCATAAAACTGGCCATGGTGCTTGACATCATTATGAGCAGAGCATTGCTGAGCTCGGAAATCACCTGCTTCGGGTGGGCAGTCCTGGAGAAGAAGAGGAGGGGAGCAAAAAGTTAAGGGAATGGCCCCAAATAGAAAACCAGAACAGCTACGTGGTTTGTGGAAGTTGTAGAAAACAAAGTAAAAGCCTTGTCATTACACATGGATCCTCCCATATCAGGTCATGTGATTATTTGACCCTCAAAGTAAAGAAAGCTGAGAAAACAATCTCCTGGAAATAAATTTTCTAATTAAAGTTAAATGAGAGAGTAACCAGTTTGAGATAGTTATTTTGGTTGATATTTGTTGGGAAAGTAACCATCTTGGAATGCATTTTCTGACAAATGTCCACTGGTCCATGAATACTTCCACATGGATAGCATTTCCATTTCCTTGTATCTTAAGTGGAACCTGGAATTAGCTGAAAGCATCCTTTGTCTCCTTTGGTCCAGACACTGGAAGCTAGAATGATTCGTTATTGTAATGACTAGCAGAAAAAATTTACGATAATTTCATTCAAAAAAATTGGGGGTATTGTTTGGCATTTTTTTCTAGAATTAAAGCTACATAGTGTCTAGAATGAATCTTGGGGAACCCAAGAGAGATGGTCATTTATACATGGGTGTGTGGCAGCAATACCGTGGGTCTCCCTGACTTGTTTTGCCCATGCTCAGAGCAGAGTTAATAATACTAATCAGCTCTCAAGGTCACTGTGAGAGGCTCATGAGTTTATTCTGGCCAATTACTGGCTTGTGGAAGCTACCTAGTAAATGGTAGCAAGTCCTGTGATTATTTAATGAAGTCACAGGAAAGAGTTGGAGAATTAAGAGATTCTCTCAATTTAAATTTTAAAAGGTATTGGCAGAGATCAATGGAAAATAAGACTCTCCTATATTTCAGAGAGGGTAATTGAAAATGTGAAACCATGAGTAACAATGGCTATTATTTAATAAATGATAAAACACAGTGAAAGCAGATAAGATTTTGCCTTAAAAAGGCAAATACTGTGTCTTCTTTGGAAAGGTTTTTTGACAAGTCTATTTCATTCTATATGTCTCCAGAATGATTCTTACTGTAAAGATTTTAGACTATCCAGGCACAGAGAGGTTTCTTAGATAACTTGTTGTTCTAAAGGATTTGCATGTGGCCTTTCATAGTTCTCAGTTACTACATTATCATTTTGAGAGTTCTTAAGAGAACTCTCTTTTTCTGTAAATCTCTTTACATTCCTATAAAAATTCAGAGAACAACATTGTTCTTTATTTTATAAAATGGAATTTTTTACTCTTCCCAAACTTATCAAGTAATACATAAGGCTCTGATATTCTAGGGAGCATAAATTCTTTCCAGGCAAGAATAGATAGGAGATAAACAATTAGATACTTATTTAGGATGAACATGAAATCGCTCAAAATACAACATAAAACCTCAAAGACATTTTACTGTTAGTGTTGTATGTGTTCTCAGGGTGAATAAAACATAGTTGTAAAGGAAAAGAACAATTTAAACAACAAAGGTGTAGATACATAGGTACTCAATAGGCTTAAGTGATTTTAAATATTAGCTGAAAAAATTTCATTCAAATTCATTGCTTATTAATTTCTTAAATGATAGTTAAATTTTCTAAAGACCCAGAAACAAATAAATAGTACATGTACACATATTATACAAGATATTTACTTGTTTATTGTGAAAAATCAAACAAAAAACCAAAATCCTCAAAACTAAGCTATGAATCACAAAACAGGGAAATTGTACCAAACCATGACAGACAGCACAAACTAAATTTAGTTTTTGATACCAGCTCATTTCAGACCATATGTCCCGACATAAGAACACAAACTTGAATTAACATGAACTCTTTGTGGATTCATGTTCCAAAAAAACCCCAAACAAACAAACAAAAAMTTACAACTTGCTTATTTAAATTCTACCAATATCTGCTTAGACTTCACTTATTAACTTCTCCCTAAAACAACCCTATTACTAACCACAGCTCCAAACTATGAACATATACTTCCCTAAATCCCCCCATTTAAGACAATAACAGAGTCCAAAATGTTGTCTACCTTTTGCTGAGCAGGATTAATAAACCTAGCTTTACCCAGTTCACAAGTTTCCCTGGTTGGTCAGTGCATGGGAACTTCCACAGTTAAACTGATAATTTACTTAATAATGTTTAAATCAAGTGTTTTCTTGTGCATAATACCTGTCATCCTAGGAGTCACTCAATTACCGTGTAGAAGAAATACTGAAGTGCACTCATAAACATTGAAGAAATTGTTTGAAATAGTCCCAAATCCCTTTCATAATTACCTTTGCTTCTTTTTTTTTTTTTCCTATAAATACAAGTGAACCAGCTAGAAAGGAATTCCAGGGTCAGGCTGAATCACTTTTGCCTTAAAGTAAGAAGGGTAAAATATAATTAGGTGATGTCTTAGTATGAGCTACAGGTAATTTTCTGCATTTTTACAATTCCAAGAAAGGAGTATGGACTGCATTTTTTTAATTGATGTTACTACCTCATCTTATTACAGACAAAATCCTTTGAGTTCCTCCTATTCAACAAAAGGTGTCAATTCATCCCACTTTCCTAAAACAAGACTCAAAGGCAGTCAAAGGTAAAACTATTAAAAAAACGTGAAAATATTAAGATCTTTATTCTCTTTTCTGTGACCAAATCAGTAAATATATTTAGACATATAGAGAATCAGCTTGCAGAGAGATGTTCCTGTTTGCAATTCACTTGCTCATAATGTTAAGAAGAATACCTATTATAGGTTTTATGATTTTTTCATAAATAGAAAATCTCTCTGAGAATAATAATGCTCAAGAACACTATTACTCACTTTTATCACTACTGTGTCTCCTTCTGCTCATATATTTATAGRGGTGGGGATATATAGTTTGCTAAATTTTAAATGCACTTGAAACCTGGAGTTCAGAGTTAAAACCTGAACCTGACCTTTATAATGAGTTTATTTATACTCTGCAAAATGCAACTTCCTGTTTTAAGRAAAGGACTTAAGAGGACTTATAAAACAGGTTCAGAAAGCTTCTTGGACATCAAATAGCTCTTACAAAATAACATTTTGATGATTTAAGTGTAAATGAATCAGAAACATATGAATTAAATTTCCCTTGAAATACACGTGCTTAAAAATTAAGGGAAGAAGGATTTGGCAAAACATTCTTTGTTTGAGTCCAAAACTTCTCAAGTATAGTTCAAGACATTTATTGAATCCCTAATAATCTAAGATCTTCCGGGTGTAGAAAAGGAAATACAAGAAAAGTCATTGTAGCCTCTAGTCCCACAAATATCCTAATAAATATAACAACAATAACAATAGGATATCTCTTATTTGTATAGAAACTTACCTTCTACAAAGTTTTTAGATTTTAATTATAATTTGGTCTATTAAACCAGCATACTCCCTGAGCCTTTTAAAAGTCAGGTCTACAAACAAATGTCCTAATTACTTTGAACTTTGCTTTATATCACAAGTCACAGTTCTGCCCAGGAAGAATGGCTGTCCTTCATGTATAATAAATACAGAAGATACCGAATATATACAATGTGGGATTTCTGTTCTTATCCAATGTTAATAGTGGGAATACTAAGCTTTCAATGGAGATARTTAAAACAAATAAATTATGATTTATATATTTTTATGTGGAACTTGGTGCACAGGCAGTAATGATGAAGACAAAGCTACTGAAAACATGTGCTACCCCTCACCTTGAACCAGGCAAAGGGAGGGTGCAGGAAAGGGGAACTGGACTGAAGACCCTAGGTTCCAGCCTCTCACAYATCTCCAGAAAGATTCGAAGGAGAAATGGAGCAAGAGAAAGCAATCAAAGGCATTTCCTTACACTGTCACACGCCTGTGGCTTGACAGCTCTCATCAGGTCACTAGGCTAGAACTTCCTTACTCGGTGGAGATATATTTTCTTTGTAATAGATGATCCCATGAATTGCTATTCAGCCATTTAGTATAACAGCTTTTCTCTCCAATTTTTAAGCACTTAATCCTAACTGTGTCTGAGCTTTCTTCTTTAAAAACACAAAAATAAAGCCTGACCTTTTATTTGCTCCCATTATAATTCATACAGTCAGTGGAGTTCTGCCATATATGAATCTAATTCAAAACATTTTCTGGTTAATCAGCTAGCCAGTGGGAAAGATAAGATGGATCCCAGATGTCCCCTGATGATGATAGGTAGATCAGATTACACCRTGGGACAAAGGAGGGTCAGGCTTCTCAGAACTTACTCACTGGGCAAGATGTAAAAGATTATGTCTCAGCAGCTAAGGTGGCAGCCTATGAAAGGCCTTTAAATGGCTTTGAAAAAARTATACAGAATATGTATTCAGGGTCAGGAGAAACATTATTTGAAAAAATTTTTCATTGTTTTTTAAAGAACATATTTTTCTTTCAGAGGGACATCCTTCTGCTTTATCTCTGTCCTTAAATATTCTGCAATTGAAGTATTCTATTAATTTTTTCTGCTTCATTTAACTTCTTTTGAGTGTCATTGTATAAGCATCATATTCTGATTCTATACTTTTATTTATAGAGTTAATATTAATACCTGATAGGATCAAGAAAACACTGAAAATTATATTCAGATGACCAAACATATGCAATGTAGTCACTAGAAAAAAAAAACTATCTTATCACTGCATTTCCCCCTGATCGAATCATTCTACTAAACCCAATACCACTGTATATACTGTACTAATCGCTCACCCTCCATAAAAGTTACTGTGAAAGAAAACAAATTAGAATTGCTTAATAAAGTCTATACACTATCCTGCAATAATGCTAGATCACTACTTTGTGATAAAACATACAGATATTTATCAGCTGTTTCATGACACTAGAAAAATCTCATTGGTTCTTAAGTTTTAACCTTCAAATATTAGGAATCCTCAAATTAATGAAACAGGAAAAGTTTACCATAAAAAGTTCTTCTACAATAAGTGGATATAGGCTCTGGAACAATTCCCTCTAAAGTTCTTGGTCTCTTAGAATACTTAAATA